ATACCTACTTTGAAAATCTTTACTTCTATAGGATGGAAAATACAGAAGAAATGGACAGATTCCTAGATAAGTATGAATTACCAAGGTTGAACCAAGAAGAAATAAAAATCCCAAATAACCCAATATCAGTTATTGAAATTGAAAATGTGATTAAAAACCTACCAACAAAGAAAAGCCCAGGTCCTGATGGATTCACAGCTGAATTCTATAAGAAATTCAGAGATTTAATGCCAGTTCTTCTCAAACTCTTCAATGAAATTGAAAAGGAAGCAATTCTCCCCAACACATTTCTGGAGGCAAGTATTATATTGATACCAAAACTAGAGAAAGACCCAAACAAGAAAGAGAACTATAGACCAGTCTCACTAATGAACATAGATGCAAAGATACTCAGTAAAATATTAGCAAACACAATGGAGCTAATCATCAAGAAGATTATACACCATGACCAAGTGGGATTCTTCCCAGGGATGCAGGGATGGTTCAATATACACAAATCAATTAATATAATGCACCATATCAATAGAGCCAAAGACAAAAACCACATGATCATCTCAATAGATACAGAAAAGCTTTTGAAAAAGTCCAGCATACATTTATGATAAAAAAAAACCATACAGAAAATAGGGATAGATGGTCTTTACCTCAATCTGATCAAAATCATCTATGACAAATCAACAGCCAACATCATACAAATGGACATAAACTGAAAACTCTCACTTTAAAATCAGAAACAAGACAAGGATGCCCACTGTCACCACTCCTATTCAGCATAGTTCTGAAACGTTAGGCAGAGCAATTAGACAAGAAAGAGATATAAAAGGAATAAGGAGAGGAAAGAAAGTGAAATTATCATTATTCCCAGTTGACATAATACTCTACATGGAAGACCCCAAAAACTCCACAAAAAGAATCCTAGAGGGGCTGGGGATTTAGCTCAGCGGCAAAAGCGCCTGCCTGGCAAGCGCAGGGTCGTGAGTTCGGTTCCTGGTACCGGAGAAAAACCAAAAAAAAAAAAAAAAAAAAAGAATCCTAGAATTAATCAACAAATTCAGTAGTATAGCTGGATACAAAGTCAATACTCAATATCAACAGCATTCCTATACACAAAGAACAAACACATTGAGAGAGAAATAAAGAAAAGCATACTTTTCACAATAGCAACCAAAATTGAAATACTTAGCAATTAATCTAACAAAAGAAGTGACTTGAAATTATACTACAAGGCCACTGTGATAAAATCAGCATGCTATTGGTAAAAAACAGACCTGAGGATCAGTGGAACAGACTGGAAGGTACAGCCACATCCACAAACACACTCAGCCAAGTTATTTTTTGACAAAGGGGCCAAACAAGCTCACTGGAAGAAAGACAGCCTCTTTAATAAATGGTGCTGGAAAAACTGGCTTACCACATGTCGAAAAATGAATCTAGACCCATGTCTATCAGCATGCACCAAACTGAAATCAAAATGGATCAAAGATTGAAATATTAAAACAGAAACACTAAATCTACTGGAAGAGAAAGTAGGTAAAAATCTTGAAGACATAGGGGTAGGCAAAGAGTTCATGAACAAAAACCAAATTGCATGGGAAATACTTCAACGAATCAACAACTGGGATCTCATCTTGTGGAAAAGTTTTTGTACATCTAGAGAAATCACAAAGAGAGTAAAAAGAAAAGCCACAAATTGGGAAAAAATTTTAGCCGACCTGTCTCACAGACAAAGGACTTCTATCTAGAACATATAAAGAGCTAAAAAAAAAAAAAAAAAAAAATCAGCTGCCCCAAATTTAAAGACCCACTCCAAAAATGGGCATCTGAGATGAATACACATTTCTCAGATTGTTATGGCAGAAATTCCCCTGGCATAAATTGGGCTGTATTCCACAACAGTTCTGAGTTCATTGAGAAAACTAGAGTTTAATTTGAGGCTAGCCACCCTCACTTCCATTTGCCAATCTGGAAGTGGGCCAATGGCCATCTTTGTTCCACCTTATATACATTTTGGTTTCCATTTTTGGTTTCCATGGTAACAGATTGGGATGTTACATTCGCTGACCCTAGTGGGCATATGGTCTTTCTCTCATCCTGTTGGACCCTAGGTCAGTTGCAGATTGCATGTCTAACCATGATAGATGTTTCTCCCATTATGTTCTGTTTGTCTCCTTTTTTACAACCTATGCATTCCTTTAGGGTTACAATGTTTACCTAGGGCCAGGAGATGGAACTGCCCATGCAGGGTCACAGAGGGTTACCTAGGCCTAGGTGCCCCTTATCTCGGGGAGACATTCCTGGGCAGAGTTGATCTGGGGAATTAGCTCTTACACTGTCCCAGGAGGCTTCCCAAGGCACTGCTTAGGCTTTTACTAGAACTATTTTATCTGAAATAATATGTTAAGATTCATTACCCCCTATAAGATGAAAAAATACAAATGGCAAATATATACATGAAAAAATGTTCAACATCATTAGTTATTGGAGAAATGCAAATTAAAACAGCACTGAGATTTCATCTCACCCCAGAGAGAATGGCTATCATCAAGAAATCAACCAATAACAAATGCTGGCAAGGCTGTGGGGAAAAAGGAACCCTTCTCCACTGTTGGTGGGAGTGTAGACTGGTGCTACCCCTGTGGAAATCAGTCTGGAGATTCTTCAGTAAACTACGACTAGAGATCCCATTCAACCCAGCTATTTCCCTTTTGGGTATTTTTCCAGAAGAACTACAAATACCATACTACAGTGATACATGTGCACCCATGTTTATAGCTACTCAATTTGTAATAGCTAAATCGTGGAAGCAACCCAAATGCCCATCCACTGAGGAATGGATAAAAAAGGTGTGCTATTTTTACATAATGGAATATTACTCAGCTATAAAGAAAGATAAACTTGAGGCTTTTAGGTAAATGGGTGCAACTAGAGTCCATACTCATAAGTGAACTAAATTAGACTCGCATGTGAAAATACCTTATTGTCTCACTAGTGTAGGTGCCTGAAAGAGTAAATAAAATCTGAAAGATATAATAGATATTGTTAAAGGGAAAGAAACTGTTCAAAGGGAGGGAACAACTGGGATGAGGGAAAAGAGAAAAAGTCATACTACAGACATCTATCGCTTTATTGAAAGGAACAGTTAATGTTTAATTGTTTGATCAACTTTAAATGCCTATATTTGTTTAACTGAGTAACCAATTTGAAGATAACAATATGTAATACAATATCTATTGTTAATTTTCTATCACCTTGTCTGAAACTCTGTATTGCTTCTGTTGTTTGGGTGTTGTTTTGTTTATGTCTGTTTGTTTGTTAATATGTTTTCATTCCTTATCTTTAAAAATAATAAAATTTTAAAATTTTTTTAAAAACCAAAAAGCAAAAAGGACAACACAGTAAAAAACCTGGAAATGTTTTCTAGCAGTAAAGCTTTAATGAGGCTGGGGAGATAGCTCAGTGGCACAGCACCTGCCTGGCAAGTGCAAGGTCCTGAGTTCGAAATCCGGTACCAAAAGCAAAACAAAACAAAACAAAAACAGAAAAGATTATTGTAAGTAAAGCTTTAATGAATAACAAAATTATTTCTGATTATTTTTGAAGTTATTAGGTAGCTATAGATAAGTGTACCTTGAAAGTATATCCATTCATCAGTATGGTTTTGCTTTGTGTGTCTGGGGTCACCAAAAGAATAAGAGATTTTCTGTTATAGCTTGCTTTAGCTCTACTGACCTCTCACTCTCTTTGTCAGTGTTTCAGTGAGAGATATTTCTATTAATGAGCTAAGCGAAAGGTAGATTTTGCCTTCATCTCACCAGCCATTATATAATTGTGACAGTTAAGGGAAAACAGGTAGTAAATGCTGAGGTCCTGTCTTATCATTCACAAGAATTGTGTAATCATAAGATAAGCATGAGGTTTAAATAAACATGAAGTTTAATAAACATGAAGTTAAATATACATGAAGTTTGTCATTCATGATAATTGTGTAATCATAGGATTGACTTTGGCAGGAATCATTATCTGATTCCAGGGTTTTTAGACATAGACACTGGGGTTTTTACCGTGCTAAGTCAGGCCTCCATTTCACCATGGCTGTCTAGCCACAATGGCTTTGCTGTATTTTTTCTCCTTCCTCCTCGACTTAAATATTCCCTACCCCCACACGTCCATTTAGCTCATTTGAAATGTACTTGTGTCTCTTCTGTGCTTGTATGTCCTTAAAGGACATCCCTTACTGAAGGGATGACTCCTAATTCGAAGGTGAGTGCTTTCTAGCTCACTTGTCAGCTACTTAACAAGGAAGGACATCATTTAGCTGCAGGATAGATTTAAAATTCTCATTTTTCTAACTGATCAGATATTTTCCTTGAGTGTTAAAATGTATTGTTTCCTAATCCTAGTGTGTTTTATTCTAGCCTTTAGATCTCTAATTTTTCTTTGTTCTGATTAGAATTTAATAGTGAGGCCACTACCATGGATATTCTGTGACTCAGTGATTAATTCATCGTGCAGAACTTGAATAGGTAACAATTGGATGATATGAAGATATTGATCATCAAGCAATACTCAGAAGCTCTTATGTAGTTTGCATTATGTTATGAGGAGTGAATGTAAAGGCAAATCTGTTACTTATTTAAAGAAATAGTTTTTTGTTGTTGCTACTGGGATGGAACCCAGGGCCTCTTACATCCTAAACAATGGCACTAACACTGAGGTGTACTCTGAGCTGTACTGCCAGGAACCTTGCATATGTCATTTTCCAAGAGGGAAAGTGACTCACAGGGGTCTATGCCATCTTCTTGCCATATAGGTCATGATTAGGGATGAACATCTTTCATATATAGGATTGTTAATCAACAATTTTTTTTAACTTTAAGTGTTGGTACTTATTTTCTGTCTGCAGTTCATCAGCATTCATTGAGTATATTCCATGCAGACCCTAAATTAATAGAGCTGTGTTTAAAGTTGAACAATAAATCAGTATCTTTTTGTGTTTACAGTGGGATTATGAGACCTGGCCTCAATGCCATTATGGGGCCGACCGCTGGAGGCAAATCTGTGTGAGTATAACAGTATAAGCAAGCTTTCTCTGCAGTATAAATGTGGTAGATAATAAGATTGATATGCAGCTATTCGTTATATTATGAGCTAATGAGGAAGAAAAAGAGGAGGTAAAATTAAAGGAGTGAATGGAACAGAAGGTATAATTAAAGACATGAGTTAGATAAAGGAGAACATTGCCTGAGTTTGACCCGCCAAAATAGATAGCTGGGAGGGTCATTTTGGAGGTGTCTGCTGGATATAAGCCTGTGTTGCCTTTGGTTTATATTTCTGAGAATTCTTATAGGACATAATAAAAAGTGAACATTTTAAAATTATGCCTAACATTTTTAATGAAGTACAAACTGCATTGTTGAACAATGGGAATATGTTCTGAAAAATGTGTCCTTAGGGAACTTTATTATTGTGCAATGATCATAGAATGTACTTACACAAAGATAACTATGATGTTACTATGTCATGTAAGCTTTCTTCTTTATCAAATTCTAATTATTAGCCATATTTACTGAAAAATGACTTTTATTATGACATTTTCATATATGCAACAAACTTGTTTTGATCTCACTACCTTTCCTATTACTCACTCTTAACCCCCAGTCCTTTTCCCCCTTCTGTAATACTCCCTGAAAGGGAAAATTTTTATATATTACATATATATAATATGTATATTACAATATATATAACATATACATATTATATATTATTATATATTACATAAATGTAATATGTATTGTATGTATGTAATGTATTGTAATATGTATGTAATATGTATTATATATTACATATATGTTATACCATACATATTATTGAAACTAGTTGAACTGTAGAATCTTTTACTAGCTCATAACTTGAATAGAATTTAGGTTCAACTAGTTTATAATTTGAACAGAATTTGGTTTCAGAGTAGCTGAGAGATACAGCTATTGGAGATACAGTATATACAGATACTACTATTGGAGGGAACCCCCCCAAAATATATGTATTTTTATAGGTTGTTAGATGTGTTAGCTGGAAGAAAAGATCCACGTGGATTATCTGGAGATGTTTTGATAGATGGAGAACCGCCACCTGCTGATTTCAAATGTAATTCAGGTTATGTGGTAAAAGTAAGTGTATGTGGGGTTATGTTTTGGATTTCCTGTTTCTACATGGACAGATGTCCTGGGTTATGCTTTCATGTGCTTCCAATGAATTACATGATATGCTCATAGAACCAGCTTTCTTTACACTAGCTTTTCATAATCTCCCACCATTTGAGAGTAGTGTTAAAGGAAAAGGCAGAGAGGATCTGGAATATGAGCCTCGTAGGGCAGTGGCATCAATTCCAGCTGTTGCATCATTTCTAGAAGTCACTACTTTTGTCCTTTTCTGCCCTTCTTTTACCTTTCTCACTCCATTAGCTTAGAGAGGTATTCTGGGAAAATCCCCGTGGACAGCAGTGTGTTATTAGTCATCATAGGCTCTCCTTTGGTAGGCAGTGGGAGGTGGAGATGATTTCATGAGGTTCTGCAGCTGTCTATGTATGTAGTTACTACAGTTGGTAGAATGGAAAGCTCACCACTAGCTAGAAATTACCTTTGGTATGTAATTTTTGATGATTAAATTACATATACTAGAGTGATGGTCTTAGAAAAGACTCAGGATGTCTCATTAAAATATCATTTTGTCTAAAGGATGATGTTGTGTTGATCACGCTGACCGTGAGAGAACATTTACAGTTCTCAGCAGCTCTTCGGCTTCCAAGAATGTCGAATGAGGAAAAAAATAAGCGGATTGAAAACATCATTGAAAAGCTAGGTCTGAAAAATGTGGCAGATTCCAAGGTAATGTGAATAAAACCGAGGGAATCATAGCTAGGAAATAGGATCTTTCCTATATAGACAATGTAACATTCATCAGAAATTTCCTATAATGTGAGTGCTTTCTGTAATGAGGAGAAAAGTGAGTGCTTACCTAATATGAAAGTGGAAGTTAAGCTGGAGAGACGGTCGCAAGGAGGGGTGACTCCTGGGAGCAGAGGGAGACCTAGGGTGCAGAAGTGTCCTTACTTGACCTGTTCTGTACGACCCTCCCCCGTCCTCACTGTTGAGCTCTGGGCTCATATAATAGCTTTGTACTGACTTTTCTTGCTCCTGTTCCTCTCTTCCTCTTAGAGCAGCCCTCTCTTCCTCCAGGGGACTTTGTTCCAATGTGTTCTGAGGCATATTTCTGCAACTGACTGATAAGAAGGCAAGAATTCTTGCTCTGTTTCACACTGCTATGTGGCTTCCAAGATTACATTTGGTCACATTAGGATTTACTTTTAATTTGTGCTGATTATTTTTACATAGACTTTCTTTTGATATGTTTTTCTCAGCCCCTATCCCCTTACCTTTCTTCTGCCAGTATTTATTTCCAGACTCTCATTTGCTATAATTGTTTTTAGAATTTTATATATAGTTGTAAGCAGGGGTAACAAAGCTTAGATAAAGTAACTGAGTTATGAGGATGAGGAAGAAAAAAATGAGAGAAACCAATGAAATTTAGTCTTGAGCAATCAGTGTGGAAGTTTTCACATCTGGACCTTTGAGGTCCAGATGTGCTGATTGCAGCGGCTCAGCTTCCTCACAACAGCGAAGAACACAAATGCTACTGACTGCTGCTTCCTCTGATATTTGTTGACCGTCTGTTATGTCAAGTGCATTTTGTTTGGAAAGAAACCTCGAGATAGCTCCATTTACCACTTATTTTTATTTTATGAGTGTTTGTGATTTTTTGCTTTGGCTCTGTTTACCTGATTTTGTGAGTAAGATTTTTTTTTTTTATTGTCTTCTTCATGTTTAAACTGTCATTGCCCTAAATTACTTGCTTGTAACTCAATGGAAAACAAAGGCTGTTGTTGAGATCTTAGAATTCATATAGTTTAGTTGGTTAAAATAATTTTAATTTTTAATATTTTAAACAAAAAAGAAATGTAAAGAATATAGTCTGATCATTATGATATACACTTATTAGGTAGTTAATATAACAGCATAACTCCTGATACTGTTAGCCTAGATTTCTCAGTTGTTAAAATGTTCTCCCATGATTATTACAGCTATTTCGTACTGAAATATTTTATAGAATGTTATATAACATTTTATTCCTGAATACCTATTTCACATCTATGAAAAATAACGAAATTACCTTAACAATACTACTACTAACTATCAAAATGAACACTATTTCATGTCACCAGCTATGTCAAGCCCATATTCATGAACTGTCATGAAATGTCTTTTATAGTTCAGTTGTTAATAGTACCTATGAGTAACATTTAATTATTATCTCTTTGGATATTCTTAGTTACAGGATTATTTCCCACTTCCTGCATCTCCCAGAACTTTCTACTCTCCTCACACACACACAGTGACACTGTCTGGTGGAAAATTTCAGCCAGGTCCCCTGTGGAACATCCCGTTTTCTGGATTTGTCTGAAAGGGTGAATCAGGAATTCTATAGTGAGAGTGTAGACAGAATCAGTTTGCAAAGCCTTGTGGAAATTGAAAGGCTGCTAATATGACCTGGTAGAAAGTGAACTTCCTGGCTCCAAGTTCACTCCCTTCTTGTAATTTTACTTGGAGACTTTTGGCCAGAATAGTGGGGAGATACATTGTTAGAAGGCTAGTAATTTTCTTTCCTCTTTCTTCTCTTGTCTTTATCTCCTCTATAGACTGTGATTTCACTATGTCAGGGCCATACCTTTTCAGGGTTCTAATTTCCTACCTTAAAATGAAATGCTCCACTTGATAAGGGATATCAAGTGAAATATAGCAACTGTGAAAAGTATGGGCTTTATATCAGATCTCATCATTTAACAGCTCTGAATTGAGTCTCCGTTTACTCATCTGATAGAAGAGGAACCATCTTCTTCTCTTAGGTGTCTGTTTACTTGCTATTAGAATAATAAAGAAAAAGAGATAAGTCGTCTGGTACAGGGCACAGGTTAGTTCACCAAATGGCAGGGACCCTGGTCATTTCTATAGATGCTGGTAATAATTTCTGTTTTAGGTTTTGTCCAAAGGAGAGAGAAAAAGGACCAGTGTGGCAGTGGAGCTGATCACTGACCCTCGCATCTTGTTCCTGGATGAGCCCACGACTGGATTAGACCCAAGCACAGCACATGCTGTTGTTTCGCACCTGAAAGAGTAAATGCTACAGGAACATTGTTCTTTCATTTATTTAGTACAAATCATTGGTCATGTCTATGTGCTCAGTATTCTTACTGCCAGTACTGAGAAGTGCACAGCAGAATATTTTGCCCTTAGAAAAAATCAGTCAAGTTAACAAAGATGTGCTGTCAGGAAAGATGAAGCAGGAGTATAGGGAAGGTTGGCCATGGTGGGGGCGGGGGCTGTTGTAAATGGCAGGCGGGTCAGGGAAGACCGCGGGCCTGTGAGCTGCCAGCTGGGAGGGAGTGAGAGAGACCAGGCTGGATGTGGCAGGAGAGAGTTCCAATTTGAAGGAAGAGCCGGTGGCACAGGGTCTGAGCAGGCCTGCTATTTGTGAGGTATCAAACAGGCCAGAGGGACAGAAGCAGTGGCTCCAGGGAGTGGAGGTTGGCCTTGTACTGTCAGCAAAATACCACAGACGGGGTGGTCGAAAAGCAGAAATTAATTTTCTTAGTTCTGGAGGCTGAAAGTCTGAGATCAAGATGTTCATAGGCTTGTTTATTCTGAGTCCTTTGTCACTGGCTTATACATGTGTTTGTGTGTGTGTATGTGTGTGTGTCCCCTAATCTCCTTTTAAATGGACACCAGTCAGGTTAGGACCCTCTTGATGACTTTGTTTAATCTTCATTAGCTCTTTGAAGACTCTGCCTTGAAATGTGTACAGTTTCTGCAGTACTGGGTGTCAGGACTCCAGCACATGAGTTCTGAGGAGGACACAGTTCAGCCCATCAGAGGTAGAAATAGGATGGGCAGCTGGTTGGGTTGGTGACAGAGTACATAGAGCCTTTAGCCCCCTGTGAGAAGTGTGGCTTTTACTGTCCCTAGGGGATATGGGAGACATTTTCAGAGTTCTAGAGAGTGCACGGGCAGCAGCAGAGAGGCTGTGCAGTTGGCAGTGGGGAGTTCAAGGACACCAGGAAGAAGGCAGTTGAGGTACTGTCACAGAAGGACTGTAACTTTTTAAAAAATATTGTGTGCTGTGTGACACACCACCATCTCTCCTTATGCAGAGAGCTCTAATCCATGCATCGCAAGACTTGCTGTGCACACTCACTGCTGGGGTCTATTTAACATGCAGACTCTGTTTCTTTAGGTCTGAGATGGAGCCCAGTATTCTCCATAGGAATTTCTGAGCAGAGATCCTCAAACGGATGCTCACAGAGATACTCTGACTGCTTGCAGACCATACTTTGAGTATCAAGGCTTTTAGTCCTTTACCAGCTCCCTATTGCCTGGCAACCAATAATCCCATTTCTGAAGGAGGGGTATAGCATGAGTCTGCTTTGCTGCAGTCTCTTCACTTATCTTCTTTATCTAACACCAACACCCACCCACACACCCACACCCACACTCCTTGTAGTGTAACACTGAACTTGTGGTTTCTCAAATAAACCTTTTAATTTCACACTTTGTTCTTCCACGCTAGGATCTTTTCTTAACACACTCCTTTTGGGCCTTTTGAGTTGTATATTATCTTCAGACTGGATCACAAGTCTCCTGTTAGCTTACAAGGAAGTCTTAGCTCTTTTATTCTACATTGTATTGAAATCCTTGATTTTCCTGCCTGATCCCATTAAACATACACACTGTAAACATACAGTAAACATTTACCGAATGCTTGAATTGAAGTAATTCTTCTCATAAAATATGCTTGATAACAGCTTTAAACAGGAATTGTTTCACCTTTGTTTCTTCTACCCACTAGTAATAAATCCTATGAAAAGATAGTTTAGCACTGTTTGTGACATGACCATAGACCAGGGATCAAATTTCAGCCTTTCCATCTTGGTAGCTGTGCCCCTTTGGCTAGTATTAAGAGAAGGAAATAATATAGGAACTACTTTATAACAACACTGTAAAACTTACAATGCAGTTTTCTCTAAAGCATTTAGCGAAGACTTAGTGCTTGGCAATATTAATTGTATTATAATGGCACAAGAGCCAAATCCAATCCTAAAGCAAGAAGACTAAACTGATCAATGCCAACTGAGCATACAGCATTGTTTTAATGTTTAGTCCATAATTAGAAAGTACTACAACATGAAGAAAAATCTTGGCACCAAGTTATGTCAAACTTGGATGTAGTTACAGATTTCTTAGGGTGTGGCAACGTTCCCCACCCCAGAGATTCTAATTCAGTGTCTGAGAAGACTGTCCAGAGATCTACATTGTCACTGAACCATCTAGTACGTTCTAGACTCTTAATGTCCATCTTTTAAGGAGCTCTAGCCTTTTAATAAAAGCATTAAGTTTAGATTCCCCAATTATCAAATAGAGAATATAAGTTAAGATAAGAAGTTTGTAAGAGCAAATCAAGTTGAATTGGGAATACATGGCCTAATGGTAGGAGTAGAATATTTTACCAGAAAGTGCAGTGTTCAGATGCTTAATGACTTGTTCTTTTCCCTCTTGTAATGTAGGATGTCTAGGCAGGGGCGAACAATCATCTTCTCCGTTCATCAGCCTCAGTATTCCATCTTCAAGCTGTTTGATAGCCTCACCTTATTGTCTGCGGGAAAAGTAGTTTTCCATGGTCCTGCACAGAAGGCTGTGGAGTACTTTGCATCAGCAGGTATACTTAACTTTTTCATGCAGCTGGTCCTTCATTTGAAGAATTCTGGAAGAGAACAGAGGAGGTCTACAAGGGTGCTGTTTGATTTTTGCATAGAGGTACCTTGGGTTCCACCACTCTGAAATACCTTTGGCCACTTTGGTGCCCAGACTTTTCTTCATGTTGTAGTACTTTCTCATTGCTTGGGTTTCTTTCTGCTTCTTGTCCCATGTGAGTGTGTATGCGTAAATGTGTCTAAGTTGGGCCTGTGTCTATTCTACTCGCTAAGTATGGCGGCCTTTCCCTGAGAGTTCAGTAATCAATGTGCTGGGCTCATAGCCAATTATTCTGTCAGGTGAACATTTCTGAAAAGGTCTGGTGTTGTTGACTTGATAATATATTGGATGGTGTTTCATCAGTTTTTCCCCTGGCACATTGCTCTGCCTTCATTATGTCTCATACAGATGCTGCTTCATTTTGTAGTAAAATTACATCGCAAATTTGGGCTGTGAATGGGTGTGAATGGCCATCATATAGTGAGTGTTCCTCAATCTGACCTTGATGGGGCCAACATTTCTGCCATTTCTGCACTGTCTGGTCCTTTGTATTCAGATTGAATTGAGTAATACTTAAAAATACTTCATGTAGTTTGCTTCATTTTAGAGAAATACTTGGATATGAATGTAGGTGTTTGACGATGACCTCAAATACAGTTTTAAGGGCTAGGGATGTAGCTCAGTGGTACAGCACCTGCCTGGCAAGTGCAAGGTCCTGATTTCGATTCCCAGTACAAAAGAAAATACAGTTTTAAATATTCACTAATTATCATTCTTAATTTGTTCAGTATAGGTCTTTAAAATGAGTCAAACGTATATGGGGAAATCCAGGGGAGCTTACCTGCAAGAGTCAGTCTTCAGGTCATGTTCAGATGATCATGCCACAAGAAGTTGAGGTCAGAGTTCTGTTGTGCTGTGCTGGTCATGCTTTCTGAAAATACTGCCCAGTGGCTTCATTTTGTATTTAAAATTATGGCAGCATGACAGATGCTAATTTGGACCTCTGGATTTAGTAGGTATAGAAGGAATCATTACTGACTTGTATACTGCAGTTTTCACATTTCAAAGAGTACAGAGGAACTCAGAGAAGGGTACTCTGAGGCACAATGCATCCAGGCAAATCCTCCCTACCCTCTTTAACTGAGTCCTCTGTGTTCCAAGACCATCAGGTTTGTTTTCTTGTGTTGCCTTCTCTCTTAGGTTACCACTGTGAGCCCTCCAACAATCCTGCAGACTTCTTTCTAGATGTGATATGTGGAGACTCCTCTGTCATATTAAACAGAGAGGGACAAGACTGTAGTGACTCCTCTGTTGTAGGATACAGGCAGGAAGAAGCCACCTTTCTTGTAGAAAACAGAAAGGAAAAAGGCTCTGAAGGTAGGTAAATCTTTTAGTTCACAGAGTTTTGCCTAACTGGTTTAGCTAAAGTTCATTAATGTGGTGGCTCATTAAAACGTGAGTTTGTAAATTCCTGTTAATGCAGTATTCTGATACCAGTCAGCAGATAGGCATTTTGAGATATTGTTTATTGTGTTAATTTAAAAAGTTTAAAAGGTTATGTAACTTAATAGAGAGTTAGTGTGTTCATTTTATATATGTATTTTAAGCCTGTGCACAAGGATGGTATGGAGATTATGTGAGTGTTATATGTTTTTTGGGTGGAGTAGTCTGTTTAAATATGAGAGAAAAAGAGGCATGTTTGTTTTGTTTTTGTTGTTTTGTAAAGCTTGTCTTTTGTTATGTGTTATTTTGTTGTAGAGCTAGTCTAGCATGGACTAAAACTTTTATAAACTGTAAGCTAAATACATTTTTTTTATTTTGAGTGTTAAATATTTTGCTTTAACAACAACAAAAAGTAACTAAGACAAAATTTGGTACCAGGAGTGAGGTTGTTGCTGTGACTATACCTAACCATGTAGTTCAAGAGCCTTTAAAAATGGCTTATAAAAAGAGTTTAAAAAGGTTCAAAGATGTCTCTTAAAAGAGTAGAGCTGGAATGCCTGTGGCTGTTCTGTGTGAGAGATTCTGGTCAAAGCTCAAAAGACCAAAAGACTGATAAATATCTTGCCAGTAAAGACCAGATTTGAGAGGTTTCTGCTAAAAAAAAAAAAAAAAAAGACTACATTGATTGTTAGACTCCAGACAATATGTGTTATGGCTTGGCAAAAAGTTTGTCTACATTTTGTTTGTGTCCAGACACTTTGTCTGATACTGAGATTAAAGATGGTAGACTGATTCATCAGACAAAAAAAATTTCAAGACAGTCAAATGTTGTGACAGTTGCATGGCTATTGTTGGGGGCTTTTAATCAGATTTATGTGAAAAGTCAAAAACAAAGAGCCCAACAAGATAATTAAAAATATTATAAGCTTTTATTGGAGCAAAAAAAGCTCCAATAAAACTATAAACTACAAAGATAAAACTAGAGATCTTCATAACTTAAAAATGGTCTCAGATGGTCTGAGAGCATCACAAAAAGCACAAGTCTTCACCCTTTACAGCCTCAAAACTGCAAAAGTAAAAGACCTTGCTTTAAAAAGAAAAAGTTGCAGAACGCCATGTTCCAGAATAGTGGCAACAGCCACACCAGGGTCCAAAATGGTGGCGGCATAAAAAATTTGTTCCTCAAAGTGAGGTTCAGAGTGCCCAGTGATCCAGGCACTCCACCCCTATGGCCAAGAGAGAGAAAAGCTTGGCGACTGCTCCAGGTGGTAGCAGACCTTGGCATCATCCACGTGGCCCTGGTTTTAGATACATAAAAAATGCGAGAGTTCTGAGGTTAAAAAGGCTTCCATCTCGATTTCAGAAAAAGGCCTGAGAGGCCAAACAGTGTGCCCCTGAGAGGGCAGTATATAAAGGTATAAATATAAAACAAAAGGTGCCGTAGAGACCTCAAAAGGGTAAAAAAGCCAAAAATATAGATTGTGTAAAAATAGCTACAAAAAAAAAAAGTAAAACAGGCCCAAGAGACAAGACATAAAAGGTATAAACACTAAAAGTGCCTCAGGGATAAAGCCACATAAGCTGTTTAAATCTCACAATGTGCCACAGATTGCTTTAAATACTAAACATAAAACTCTAAGACATAATGTTAGCTCTGCTAGATTTTAGGCTTCATTTAGTCCCAGTGCTTTATATCTCTGTTTATAACTTTTAAAATAAAAATGTTTATTTTTGTGCCATTAAATGTTAAAACTGTTTTAACTTTTTATTTATGCAGGAGCTTACAACTAAGAGTTTGCCTTACATCTCAAAAGAGACAAGAGACTTAGGCTTTTCAACAATGTTACAATTGTTCAGACTTTGTCAACTCTTAAAGATAAACTAAAATGCCTTTTACATTAAAAAAATATATACACAAGTCTGGGGGGAAAATGTTATCGTTCTAATACAGTATAATGTTAATAGACTTCATACTGGTTCTTAAGCATTGTTAAACCTGTTTATAATGTTCAAATTATAAAATGATAAAAATAATGTCATATCTAAAAACTGGTTTTAAAAAATGTCTAATTGCCAAGTTAACAAGAGTTAGATTGTTATGGTTGATACATTGTGTCAACTTGAGTCTAAAAGTTTAACTAAGTAACTCAGCAGTTCTGCATCATGGTGTAGAAAGGACATGCCCTTACCCTCCTGGGATGTTGTTTATTGTGTCAATTTAAAAAGTTTAAAAGGTTAACTATGTGACTCAGCAGGGAGCCAGGGTGGTTACTTTATATACATTCTAAGCCTGTGCAAAAGGAGGCCATGGAGCTTATCTGAGTGCTACTCGCCTCCTGGGTGGGGTAGCCTGTTCACAATATAAGAGAAAAAAAGAGGCTTGTTGCTCCCCCCTTTTGCTCTTGTTGCTTTGCCGTTTTGTGCTGCCATAAATGCTTGCCCACTGCCATGTGCCACTCTGCCTTAGAGCCAGCCCAGCATGGACTAAAACCTGCACAAATTGTGAGCTAAATAAACCTTTCCTTCCTTAATTTTGAGTGTCAAATACTTTGTCTCAACCACAACAAAAAAAAGCAACTAAGACAACCGCCACCAAAGAATGAGTGCTCCTCAATCTGACCTTGATGGGGCCAACATTTCTGCCATTTCTGCACTGTCTGGTCCTTTGTATTCAGATTGAATTGAGTATACTTAGAAGTACTTCATGTAGTTTGCTTCATTTTAGAGAAGTACTTGGATATGAATGTAGGTGTTTGACCATGACCTCAAGTACAGTTTTAAGGGCTAGGGATGTAGCTCAGTGGTACAGCACCTGCCTGGCAAGTGCAAGGTTTTGAGTTTGAGTCCCAGTACAAAAAAAAAAAAAAAATTACAGTCTTAAATATTCACTGATTATCATTCTTAATTTGTTCAGTGTAGGTCTTTAAAATGAGTCAAACGTATATGGGAAATCCAGGGGAGTTTACCTGTAAGTGTCAGACTTCAGGTCATCTTCAGATGATCGTGTCACAAGAAGTTGGGGTCAGAGTTCCGATGTGCTGTGCTGGTCATGCTCTCTTGAAAATACTGCCCAGTGGATTCCTTCTGTATTTGAAATTACGGCAGCATGACAGATGCTAATTTGGATCTCTGGATTTAGTAGGTATAGAAGGAAGCATTATTGACATGTGTGCTACAGTTTTTACATTTCAGGGAATACAGAGGAACTCAGAGAAGGGAACTCTGAGTCACAATGCACCCAGGCATCTGAGATTTTCTTTCTAGAGCCGTGTTCTCTATATTACTGATAAGCACCAGAGTATATTGATAGCTGTTTGGGTTTTATAACTTATGAAAGTTAGGAAGAGTTGAAAGATGTTCAGAATAGTTCAATATTCATGACATACATATTGAGGGGTGCACAGATAATTATCGAAGTGTCATGTGAGTAACTGTAAAAGGATCAGGGGAGAAGAGCAAGCAGATGGGAGAGAAGTTGTGAGATTCCTTCTTTCCTAGCCTCACCTCCCTTACGCTCTTTAACAGAGTCCTCTGTGTTCCAAGACCATCAGGTTTGTTTTCTCCTCTGTTGTAGGACGCAGACAGGAAGAAGCCTCCTCTGTTGCAGAAAACAGAGAGGAAGAAGACTCTGATGGTAGGTGAATCTTTTAGTTCACAGAGTTTTGCCTAACTGGTTTAGCTAAAGTTCATTAATGTGCTGGCTCATTAAAATGTGATTTTGTAAATTCCTATTAATGCAGTGTTCTGATATCAGTCAGCAGATAGGCATTGTTGTCTATGAGTGGTATAGGTATTTTGATTTAATTTGTAAATGAGCATTTGTATAACATTGCCATTTGTAAGGGAAGTTGCCATTAAAAAACAAAAATGCTCATTGTTTATAGTGTTTTTAAAATGAGACACTTGGTACTTTTTGCATTTGCACATAGTAGAAAGTATGGACCGGATTTTTATATTAAGAATTATAAATTTGTAAGAAGTCTTACATATCTAATGATAAGATTTAGGGTTCCGTGGATTTCCTTTTGAGTCCAATTGATTATGATACATCCATAAGATTATAGCAGTAGTCAGGTCATTTAGCTGTCTCTTTCTCATGTGTAAAGCAATGACAAAACAGGTGATTTTTTTTTTTTTTTTTTTTGTGCACAAGCTTTCACATGAAGGTGTTAGCCAAGAAAAAGTCAGAGGAAAATGCATTGGATCACTTATTTGTTCCTGTCTTTAATGTATTCATCTACTTTTATTCCAAAGCTGAGGAGACTGGAGAGTTGAACAGGAGAAATAAGTCACTTGTAGGAAGCTTAGCTGAGCTTTATGCCAACTCCTCCCAATACAGAGAAATAAATGGTGAATTAGATCAACTTTCGAAAGGTGGGAGGCCGAGGAGCTCAGCCTCCGAGGTTACCTATACCACCTCCTTCTGGCATCAGCTTGGATGGATTATGAAACGTTCATTCAAAAACTGTGTGGGTTATCCTCGAGTCACTATAATTCAGGTAACCCAATATATTTTTTTCATTGTGATGTGAAATACTCAAGTGGGAGTATGTGTGTGTGTGTGTGTGTGTTTTGAGACAGGATCTCGCTATGTAATTCATATAGGCAGGGTTGGGGGCCCACCCTACTGCTACATTTATGCAAAATTTCTTTGTTAGAAAATTTTTGTGTGCTTTAAAAATTGTATTTTTTATTCAATTTGCAGTGCTGGGCATTGATCCCAGAGTCTTACATATGAGAAACAGGTATTCTGCCCAGGAGCTACATTCCCAGCCCTGAAATGGTATTTATTTCTAATGATAAGCATAAAGATATCTTGTTCGTGAACTTTTTCAAGTGTAAAACTACATGTTCACTGTTATAAAAGTTATGAATTTACTTCAAATCAAAACTGTTAGCCACATGGACTTTATTTTATTCTTTTTCATTTTATTTTATTTTATTTTATTTTATTTTATTTTGGTACTGGGAATCAAACTCATGACCTCAGGCAAGCACTTATGCCACTGAGCTATATCCCTAGCCAACTTTATTTTATTCTTAAAATGACTTCTCCAGAGAAGTGTAGCATTTGTGGGTCCAGTGGCTGAACTGGGCCCTGAGCCAGCAATACTAGACAGGACAGTGGAAAGAACCTTAGATTTTCCAGTAGTCTGCACTGTGTTCTTCCTTTTTTTTTGTACTGGGAGTTGAACTCCCTTGGAGTTCACAGGACCTTGCGCTTGCCAGCCAAGGAGCTGTGCTGCTGAGCTATATCCCTGGCCCTGCACTGTGTTCATTCAGATCCTCCAGCAACAGATAACTTCATTTTCAATTTAATTTAGAAAGCAGACTTATAATGCGCAGTGTTTTATATTCTCCCAGGGACTCTGGAAAATCATTTAAAGTGTTTATTTCAATGGAGATATTTCACATGTAGCTGTATAGATTATGTAACAGTTTTAATAGAATATATAAAAGTTTTAATCTGTGTTAAAAATTTTTACCTTTGATTAAAACTGCTTTTTCATTTTCATTTTTAAAAAGCTGTTGTCAATAATTGGAGCAGGAGTGATTGTGAGCTCTATTTTTCTTGGACTAAATAATAATTGCACTGGAATCCAGAACAGGTAAGTAACTTTTTTATCTTCCTTTGGGAAAAATGCTGATACTTTGTTCAAGTTTGTGAGCATCTATTGGGGATTTGTATTTAGGACAAGTCTGGGTAAATGTCACTATTTTATTGAGGGGTTAGGATAAGTTAGTACATTGAAAACTGAATGAAGAGTTACTTTTTTCATATGTGTGTAAATATGTAGTGGTAAAGTACATACAACATAATTTCTATGCTTCTAACCATTCTTAAGTGTAGCGCTTAGTGACATAAAGTATATTCATATTATAGAACTGTTACCACGGTGCAATTCTAGAACTTCACCTTCCCAAGTAGACCCTTCATGAACATTAATCAGTAACACACCACACCCACCTCTCCTAATCCCTGGCTAATGTCATTCTTTCTGTCTCTGAATTTGATTACTCTAGAAGTGTCGGTACTAGAAGCCAGGAGGTGATGTCCAAGCTGAAGGTGAAGACTGGAGGCTCCTCCAAAGAATGGAAGGCCCTGTGGCCTTCCTCATTTCCCATTTGTATCTAGGTGGTGAGCCACCCTAGGGTGGGTCCTGTACACCCTAAGGTGTAGAATTGCTGAGCTGATTTAGTTAAGCTTCTAAACTTCTCAAATTGACACAAGCAATCAACCACTATACTAGGTAAAGTAGAATTTCTATTTTTAGTTGTTTGAGCCCTCTCTACATGATTTCCATAGTGGTCAAAGTAGCTTAAATTCTCATCAACAACCTGGAAAAGTTCTTTTTCCCCACTCATCTTTTCCAGCATTTGTAATTGATAGGCTTTTTGATGATAGCCATTCTTTTCAGTCTAAGATGGTATCTCACTGTTTTTAAATTTGCATTTATTTCTCTAATGGTCAGTGATGGTAAGTATTTTCTCATGTGCTTTGGCCATTTTTGTTTAAGTGAAATGGTTGATCATTTTGGTTGCTCATTTTTTGATTGGGTCTTTTATTTTGAGGAGTCTATAAATTTTTTGAGTTCTTCATATATTCCTGATGGTAGTTCTACTGTTCTTGGAATGGCACTCTGTTGGTTGTTTCCTTCACTGTGCAGATTTTTGATTTGATGTGATCTCATTTGTTGATTCTTGGTAGTATTTCTTATGCTATTGGGATTCTGTCCAGAGAGTTGTTGCCTATGCCTTATGTCTTTAAAAATTGTACGTATTTTATCTTATAGAAGATGGTTCCTGTTTTAACATTTATATCTTTGATCCATTTCCATTTTAGTTTAGCACATGGTGAGATGTGTAGGTCCAGACTCAGTCTTCTGCATGTGGTTATCTAAGTTTCCCAGCATCATTTATTAAAGAGAATATCTTTCCTCTAGTGTCTTTATTTTTATTTATTTATTTTTATTAGTATAGGTTTGCCATATTTAATGATCACATTTATCATAGGGAATTTGTACCTGTACATAATATTTCTTAAGTACCTGTACATAATGTTTAATTTTTTCCCCATTCCCCTCCCCTCTCTTCAATCTTTCATTCTCTCCCCATTTACAAATCATTGTTTCCATTTTCCCTTCCATTCTCTTTTTTAAAAATCACTTTTCCAGGGGCTGGGGATTTAGCTCAGTGGCACAGCACCTGCCTGGCAAGAACAAGGTTGTGAGTTCAATTTCAGGTACTGGAAAAAAAAAATCGCTTTTCCCTTACTTCCCTTTCCCCTTCCTCTTCTCTTGTTCCCCTTTTTATTTGAACAAGTTGCTATTTTCCAGTATTGTATAGTTTCTCTTGTTTCAGTGTGTGTTTCAGGCTCCTCTGTCCAAGCTCCAATTGCTGTATATGGCTGGGGTTATTTCTGCTTCTACTCTTCTGTTCTATTAACCCACATGCCTGTTTTTGTGCCAGTTCCATGCTGTTTTAAGCACTGTAACTTTATACTATAACTTCAAGTGTGGGATTGTTATTCCATTGGCTTTGCTTTTGTTACCTAGGATTGCTTTTGTTATTTTGAGTCCCTTCTGATTCCATATAAATTTTAGGATTGTTTCTCTAGCTCTGTGAGAAACGACATTGGTATTGATTGGAATTGTATTAAATCTATATATCAGTTTTGGACATATGGCCATTTTGATTATGTTGGTTCTGCCTACCCAGGAACAGGGGATAGCTTTCCATTTTCTGGTGTCCTCCTTTATTTTCTTTTTCAGGGTAATGTAATTTTCATTATAGAGGTCTTTCACTTCCTTAGGTAGGTTAATACCTCAGTATTTAATTTTTTTTATGCCATTATGAATGGCATTGTTTTCCAGATTTTTTGGGGGGGGGTAGTTTTTGGTACCGGGATTCGAACTCAGAACCTTGTGCTTGCCAGGCAGGCACTTATGCTGCTGAGCTATATCCCCAGCCCGGCATTGTTTTCCTAATTGCTTTTTCAGTATGTTTATTATTAGTGTATAGAAATGCTATTGATTTTTTTGTGTGTTTATTTTGTATCCTGCTACACTGCTGAATTTATCAATTGCAGGAGTCTTTGGGGACTTGTAAGTAAAGGATCATCTCATTTGCAAATAATGACAGTTTAATTTTGTCCTTTTCCTTATGTATCCCTTTTATTTCTTTCTTTCTTTGATTGCTCTGGCTAATGTTTTGAGGACTATGTTGAACAAGAATGGTGATAATGGACATCTTTGTCTGGTTCCTGATTTTAGAGGGAAGGCTTTTCTTTTTTCCCCATTTAGTATAATGATAGCAGTAGGTTGGTCATAAATGGCTTGCCTCATGTTGAGATACCTATTTTCTTCAGGTTTTTATCATGAATGGATCATGTGTTTTTTTGTCTTTGCTTCTGTTTATGTGATGAATTACATTTATTGATTTGCTTGCATCAAACCAACTCTGAGATAAAGCCTACTTTATTATGATCTTTATGTATGATCTTTTTGATGATTTCTTGTAATCTATTTGCCAGTATCTTGTTAAAGATTTTTGCTTCTATATTCATTAGAGAAATTGGCTTACAGTTCTTTTTTGTTTGGAGCCTTGTCTGGTTTTGGAATCAGGATAATATTGGCTTCCAAATTGATTTTGGAAGTACTCCTGATCTCTGGATTTCATTAGAAAGTTTGAGGAGTATTGGTGTTAGATCTTTCCTGGAAATTTCATAGAATTTGTCTGTGAATTTATCAGGTCCTGGACTTTTCTTAGTTCATAGTTTTTTTCATTATTATTGCTTCAATTTTATTGCCTGTTATTGGACTATTCAGGATTTTTGAGTCTTCTTGTTTCAGTTGTGGCAGTTCATATGTATCTAGGAATCTCTCCATTTCTTCTGAGTTCTCCAATTGTATGGCGTATAAGTTTGTGAAATAGTTGCTAATAATTTTCTCAGTTTCGGCAGTGTCTGTTGTGCTTTCACCTTTTACATTTCTAATTGCATTAATTTGTGTCCCCCTGCCTTTTTTTGGTAACATTGTCTAAGTGTTTGTCAATTTTGTTTATTCTTTCAAAGAGCCAGGTCTTTGATTCACTGATTCTTTGTACTTTTCTTTAGTCTCCTTTTCCTTAATTTCTCTGATCTTTGTAATTCCTTACTCCACCTTCACATTGGTCACTTCTCCCCATAATTTCAGTCATGTTTTTAGTCTGGGTTTCTGTTTTGCACCTTTCTTAATGACTCCCATTCTTTTCTGTGTTGAGCATTCATGTTTTGCATCTCTCGCTTTAGTTCCACAAGCTGTTTATTAGTGTCTTCTCTAGATTCACTGAGAATTTGTTTGATTAGGGTCATTATCTTACTAGTTGTACCTTCTTTAAATTCACCAAGTATCTTAATGGTTTATCCACATTGGTAGCCTTTCCAATCTATCTGCTGTGTAATTTATGATTTTTTCCCTTTCATTGTCCCTTGAGCTGATTTTGAGAGAATTGGGAGATTTGGGGGGGGAATTTTGTTGCCTTGTCTTTTCATATTTCATATTTCTGTTTTGTTTGTAATGGAGTTTGCAAACTCATTGGCCCAATGCCCGCTTTTTTCGGGAGCAAGCCCCAGTATTATGACCCCCAGGCATCTAGATATCAGCATAGAGAGAAAACCAATTGCCAGCCATACTGTGTTTCCATGCCTATAGTAATAAATTCACTGACAACAGTGGGCATCAGATTTCAACTGTACTTTGAAACCCTAGGAACCCCTGGTGATCTCCTCTGTTAAGCAAAGAGGGCTATGATTTAAGTGAACACA